GCCGTTCTGGGGGCGGCAAAGGGTCCAAGTGTTTCCATATCTGGATGATTGGCTCATAAGGGGCAAGTCTCGAGAACAGGTATTGGATCATGTCTCACGGGCCAGGGCTTTGTTCGAGAGCCTCGGCCTCCTCATAAACGATGCCAAATCATTGCTAGATCCCACGCAAGTCATAGACTTTGTGGGGGCCCACCTGGACTCGCCTTTGGGCAAGGCGTCTCTACCGAGAGACAGATTCATGGCTGTTCGCTCGCTGGTAGTGGGGCTGCAGGAGTTCCCAACTACGACGGCGAGAACCTGTATGAGGCTCCTAGGCCACATGGCGGCATGCACTTACGTGGTCCAACACGCCAGGCTGCGCATGTGCCCATTGCAGGGGTGGCTCAGGGTAGCGCACAACCCCTTGAGGTCGCCACTAGATGCGGTAGTGACTATCCCTCAGGACAGTCTTCGTTCACTGGACTGGTGGAAGGACGAGAGCACGGTGTGTGCGGGGGTCCGATTCACCAAACCGTCCCCGTCAGTGCAGCTGGTCACGGATGCTTCAGATGTGGGATGGGGCGCTCACCTCGGCCTCAGAACGCAAGGTACGTGGTCAACAGAGGAGGTTCACCTCCATATAAATATCAAGGAACTGTGGGCGGTCAGGTTGGCCTGTAGGGCGTTCCTTCCTCATCTGCAGAACAGAGTGGTGGCGGGGTTGACCCCCTACCATGCTACCACCAAAATGTCACCAGCTTTTCTAATGATGGGACGTCAGCTGCGCACTTGTTTTGATTTGCTGAACCCTTCAGAACCGCGACAAATTGTGCAACGTCAACAGCAAGGTCAAGTCATCAGATGTGCATCCAGAGTAAAAGATCAAACTTTTAGTCCTGGACAGCCAGTTTTGGATCGGAACTATGCTCCTGGAGCTAAATGGGTCCCTGCCACTACTATTATTGCTCAGACAGGACCTGTTTCCTGTGCAGTCTGGACTGCGAAGGATCTCAGCTGGCGGCAGCATGTAGATTAGTTATTGATAGGTTCTGCCTACCCCAAGACACATATCCAGTTGAGTTGCCTGTCCTTCCCACTGCTGGTGAGTTACCATGTCAAGAATCACCTGCTCCTGACTCTCTTCCTCCATCAACACCTGACGCTAACATAAACCCCCTCCCTGAGCAAGCTGATCGGACAGCCTCAGCTGTTCACACTTCAAGTTCCTAGCCCAGTGTCAGGCCCATACCCATAACACCTTTGGGTGCAAGGTCCACCATAATCCACCTCAACAGCTGGACCTTTAGTTGAGTAACTCACATATGGGGCAAAATGATCCCCAGGGTTAGCTGGGAACTTGAGGCAGTCTATCCGCATTTCATAGTTAGTGTTTGTTTCCTTAAAGGGACATTTTTATTAAGGAGGAGGAATATGTTGTGTATTGAGTTGTAGATATAGATCTTGTTGTTATAGTAACTGAAGTCACTGGGGTCAGCCAAGCTGGTTTGGGCATGTTCTAGTTAGTTCCGTGTTCTGCAATAAAATGGACACTTGCACCTACTCAAGCTCTCTCTGTTTCCACTGATTTCTTCTTCAACTGTGGAACTCCACACGATATAACAGATGGAAACCAGCAGAATCTGGCAACCGTAAACAAAATGTCTGGAGGGGCACCTGTGGAACCCTGATAGGCTCCAGGGGTAGGTTGCCCATCACTGGCCTAGGCCAGGGAGTTACAGTAAACCTCAGAAGGTCACCTTCCCTCAAAGTGGGGTAAGAGGAAGATGTTCATTGGAGTGGGGCGGGCAGGGTGAATGGAGGCAGAGTACAAAGAGGAGAGGAAGGTGAGGTGCTTTGGGAGGGAATGAGGAGCATGCTGGGTGGGGTCACAAGGGTGGGAATAAGGAGGATTCTCCACTAGGACATGAACTGGGTAAAGTGCTGGAGCAAGGGTTGGGGAGGAAGGAAGGGGGCTGGGCCAGAGAAAAGGGCTGGGGGCTCTGTGAGGGGGGGAAGGAAGGGGAGTGCTCCAGGGCAAAT